CCAATAGCCCTGAAGAGTGAAGGCATTACAACAATGCGCTCACGAAACTTCGAAGTCAGTATGACTGAAATACCACCACTAAGTGTCAAGTTTCACCATATTATGTATATATATATATATATATATATATATATATATATATATATAATTTTGTCGACACCCTTGTGAAGTATAGGGTCGCAGCCTCACTACGCTCGGTTTTGCTGTAGTTGTTTCTGTAGCAAGTAGGTTCTTAAGTGGTGAAGTGGCCAGCCCCACATACAACCGGTTTTCCGTTGTCTTCCTAGACTGGTTACCAACCAAGGATAGTGTGCTCAGTCTGCGTCGCTATTAGCCCCTAGCTCGCTAGGAGGAGAATATATTTGGGCGAATGCTATCGCAATAGAATTTGATCACTACAGGCTAGTACCATTTGACTGGTAATTGTTACGATAATCAATATTCACTAACAGATTTCTTTTTAATTCAAGCACCAACAAGTGTTTCTCAATATTGGTTCTCGGTCCTATTCCTTTTTCTACTAAGTTTCATCCTGTACAAATCTCAAGAATCACACATGATACAGAGTTTCTGAATGTAAGAGAAAGGAGAAGAAAATGATGATTATGAGATTAAAGAGGTTAGATTAGCGATTGACCCTTGACTTGAAATTGTTAAGAGTTTAGTCATTTAGGAAGCATCCATATGGAAGTTTCACATAGATTTCTTTTTTCTGTATTGATTTTATTTTCTACGTCTTATCAATCCTTTTCAGGTTATTTAAAACAAGAAAATATAAGAATTCTTTCTCTTTTGAGATGACAAGGATTTAATGTCTGTCTATATCTTTGAGATGAGGTGGGGGGTTGTAAACGGTAGTGTCAGAGCTATGCCGCCCGGAACTTCGTTCCTGGTAGGGCCACCCAAGGCGGACAGGTCTTACACACACGCCGGCTAACAAGGGCTCTGGTGAAAATCCAAGGAGCGTCTGCATCGGTAACCGGCGGCTTCTGGTCGTTCCTGTGGGAACCCCGCGGCAAGCAAGAACGTTATCCGAGTAGGCCTGGGTACCCTACTTCTGTAATTTATCCCAAGAATCTTCTTCTCATAACAGGAAGAAGCCGGCTCAATCCGCCCAGGGTGAATGCCGCATCAGTACAGTACAGTAGTACAGATGAGGTATTATGATTACTTGCATTATTTACATTATTGGGACTGTTATCCTCATCTTCATTGTCATGTCCCCAACGTTTTGGTCGTTGTAAGCTTCGACCTTCTTCAGGTAATTGGAATTTCGAAGCGAACCCTTTCGTCCACCGGGGTAGATTGTTCTAGTTCCACGTAACATGCTTCTTCCAGATGTCTCCGTTATTTCCCTTTAACTCAATTTTCCAAGTTTTGGTTCACCACTCCTGTGGTCTGATATTGAACTCACAACTCTTTGTGTCTAGTCACTGGATCTAACCAACGTCTTTATCCACTGAGTCATGTGTCCTTGAAATAAATGGTTCAATTCTTCACCTGAAGAAGGCAAAAGCGTACAACGGATGAAACGTTGTGAATATGGCAATGAATATGAGGATAACAGTCCAAATAATGTAAATAATGCAAGTAAGGATTTAGTGATACAAGTTTGATTAACTACCCATATCTGTGAGGAGAAGAGATGGATTCATATTTATCCAAATGGTATTTGCGCGTAAATGAATATAACAATCCCAGCTGGAATTGAAACTTGGCTCTCCAGTTAACAATTACGAGTCATTATCCATTACACCATCTGCACATCCAAGCTTACAGCATCTGGTATTTTCAATTTCATTCGAGAAGTTGAATTTTCTTCAGTACGAATGAAATACAGGGGAAATGCTGAAGATTCGACTCTGTAGACGTAGCATGCCGAGTCTTTCACCCCAAGTAAGCGATACCACGATGACGCATGAGTTTACTGGAAGTGAAAGAGAAAAGACTTTAATTAGAAGAAAAGACAATAAAAGAACAGATTTCAGGAAGAGTAGCGATTAACGTTGCATTTATGTTTTGATGATTGTAGGTGGCAGGGAAGTAAGGAGCCAGTAGGGAGTCCTACAGACGAGAAGTGCGAGAAAAGAAGCTATTAGAATAGAACTTACGGTTCAATCTAGCTACTTCAACAGTAAAACCATAAGATATAGTTGCCAACCTGGTACATTTAAATTCATGCAGTTATCTGGAGATATATATATATATATATATATATATATATATATATATATATATATATATATATATATATCTTGTGAGTATGACTTCATACAACGATAGTCTATTGAAAAGTAATAAATCTATTTCTATTACGTATGTGTCGGTAAGAAGTTATGAAATTTGAGCGGAACAAAAATAACAAGTGATCATTATTGAAAAATAACAAGTGATTATTACTGAAAATTTCTTGGCGGGACCAAGAAAAATCTGATATTTCGCCGGATCTTGGGAATTATGTCAAGCTGAAAACTTTTCAGCACAACTTTCGCATTTACGCAATTACATCTAGTGAGTCACAACCTGGAGCAAAAAGGTGTATATAGAGTGCGTGTATGTGTTAGTGATTTTCTAAGTGATGTGGCACACGGCCGAAAGCATGGGGCGCCCAGTGATCGAACTCACTATTCAGTCATAACTGATGTAGCGAGACAAGCGTACTGGCCATTACACCACGTCGAAGTGCCAATGTGCATGCGCGCATGCGCGCATGTTTGTGTTTCAATATCAAACAACTATATGTGCGCTTTTTTATAACTCATGCTATCGACCAGATTACGTGCATACGCGATGGGTGGCCAACACATCACATCCACTGAATCTAATAATTAGTATTGTTTTTCGTTTCCTTTTTTCTTTTAATTCACATCCCGTTGATATTGTTAATTTCTACCGTTTTTCTTTTCTTTTCTTCCCCCTTTTTTTTTTAATCATGGTTCCCTTTGTCTTTTAATTCGACTCCCCAAGTTGAAAAATAAAGTTTCTTTGTCGGCTTCTAACAGAGTTTAGAAGGCATGGAAAGGACAAAAGAAGGGTCGAAGACGAATCCAGCCGTCTTTTTTCGGACGGGTCTTACTTGATGAGTATACACTCTCTGACCTTAGCCGAAGAGACACCTCATTTGATAAGAGACCCATATCCAAAGTACATTTAACCTATAAAAATAGATGTGTGTGTTGGTCGAATTTTATAAGTATAAAATATAAAATGCAAATAGGAGATATTTATAGAATTTATCTAAATACATGCCGCCATTCCTGGCCATATTCATGTACCAAAAATCATTATTGGCAATGGCTATTTTGAATCTGGATATAATTTACACTGATATTTTCCCTCTTGGATTTTTATACAAAGTTTGAATTTATTTATATATATATATATATATATATATATATATATATATATATATATATATATATATATATGTCTTTTATTCAAACATATCTGCTCTGAATTTTACATTGAGCTCTCTGGATATCATCCTCCTCAGGTCTACCCATACGGATTACCCAAGTTTGCATAAACTATCTATCTATCTATCTTTCTATCTATCTATCTATATATATATATATATATATAGTACAACCGCAGTTCTCGATCGTCTCTCGCATGTCAGACAAATCGGTTTTCGAACAGAATATTCGAGATGAAAATGCCTCGGTTATCGAACAAAATTTCGGTTCTTGAACAACATTGCCGAATCGAGCTGAACCGAGTTAACCCGAACGGAATCATTTCTGAGTCGACCGCCATGTTGTATACATTCGTGTGTTGTCCTGTGATTTTCTTTTTTTAATTTTATTGTATTGTGGCTTTTTTTCTCTTTATTAGTCCTCAGTCATGGCTCCAAAGAAAGCTATCAATGATACTGATAAAGAAAAAAGAAAAGTTAAGAGGAAAAAATTGTTGATAATATTGTCTCTATGATGATGATATTGTCTCTTGCTACTCAGTTTCATATGGCAAAATCAACGATCTACATTATTCTTATAAATAAAGAGACGACCATGTTGTTCGTTCTCTTTTCCAAACAATAACATCTCTTTCCTTCCCCATTCTACTTACGCCATAAACTCTCTTACTTGCAGGCACGGTAAAATTGGAGTGTTCGTTTATATTTTACCTGTTTAGTATTGTTTTTTATCACTCTTTCTAGTCTATCCTATATTACGATACGGATCACCATTTCTATTCTATCCTCTATTACTATTCGGATCACCATTCTACTCTATTCTCTATCACTATACGAACCACTATTCTCTACTCTATTCACTATACTATTCCTCTATTCGGATCACTATACAGATTACTGTTTGAGCGAGTATAATCGAGCAAGTACTATTAGTGCAACTGATATTCGAAAACATCTCACATCAGTATTGTTCAGCGGCGTACTATAGTTGCATCTGCAATTACAAAGTCTCTACTACAACGAGCATTAAGAAAATGACAATGAGTATTCATTGACATTACAAAAGTGACAACGAGTGTTCGTTTGAGTCAGTCAGTCGGTTATGGGCCGTGTGTGATACACGCTTAGGCGATCATGTATCTTTCGATACATGACTGACAAGAAAGATCTTTTTCCCTCAGCAGGTTGCCATCCAAGGTTATAGAACCTGGTCTGTCCTGCTATTTACCCATAGCTGGGGGTGGAGAGAAGAAAAGAATTCATACCTTTTCCAAGAGTATTAGCACGTAAGTGAATGTAATACATTCAAGTGGAACTTAGCTCTCCGATTCCTCAATCCGAGCTGCTATCCATTAGTCCACTGTGCCTCGTTTGAGTCAGAAAAGTAATATATCAATTTTATAGCGATTATTGGATTAATCATTTAAAACATCCAATTAAAAACTTTTTACAATTTGAACCATGAAAAAGAAATTGTGGAGATCCTTGATCCTCCACGTTCTGAAGAGATACGTCACATAGAAGAAGAACAAGAAAATGAACTAAAAGACGAAGAAAGTCTTTGTAAGCAAGACATGACTTACCATTAATTGGTAAGAAGACGGGGAATATGATTATCGTCCGAAAGGGCAGCACAAAATCTTCTGTCGGTGTTTTTAGTAGTTTTCTTTCCGTGATTGCTATAGGCAATAAAGGATATGAATAACACTATAAACTAGGTATTGCCAAAGATTCGCTATAAATAGACACACATGATAAAAAAATGCCCAGAACTTAATAAAAACAATGTTTTAACGTCACATACTTTGTGTTATTATTAAGAAGAAAGACCAAAGGATTTATATACAATTATTTTTTTAATCCTTTTTAGAACCTTCGAAATCTTTCTTAAATTGGGAAATTTGAGCGGTGGAAAACACTGATTTGGAAATTCTTGCAGAAATCAAATAATTGTCGGATTTTACTGAAACTTTCTGGACTTATTCACAAATGAATTAAATTATTTTTAATTGTTTCTTTTTTAGAAAAGCTTTACATTTGTTACCCCAAACTTATTTAATTTTATAAATTTTTTAGAAATTCTTTTTTATAGCTCTTAATGCTTATAAGGACAAGTCCGAGGAGAATTTTAATCATCAATGTTTTTTGGTCTACCAGGACCCACAATTACAGAAAATCTGATCAGGATCGTAAAATAAAATTATTATTTAATTAGAAGTACTTTTAATTGTTTTTGTGAATAAAATATATTATGGAGACTATCGTTATTAGAAAAAAATCGATGAATAATAGATTTTTACAAGAATGTTTCCTTTTTAAAAAAAAATTTAATTAGAATAATTTACAAACGTTTAAATCTTTTAAAATTCTATATTGATTTGTAGCGGTCAACTGATATTGTTATTAAATAAAAACTATATTTGCTAATCATAAATGTTAAAATTACTACAATTCAGCGACCTCCACTATTTTAAAAAGATTTTTTTTTAGTGTGTAAAAACGTGCCGATATTTGTAAATACCGACATTCGTACACGGCATTATCAGAAAATAAGAACATTAACTCTAGTAAATCTAAAATTTGTTAGTAATTTTCTAATATTCCCTCAACAAGCGTCTTCCTAAGTAAGGCTCTAAAGCCAAAGTATCTAAAATTCAGTTAAATATTAGAATTTTTTTAAATATTTAAAAATTGTAAGATTACTGGGTAGATAAAAAAAAGTATCTACAAAGGGTGTTTACGTTGTATTCGGCAGGTATTTTTTACTACAATTATTCCCCCCCACCTTACATAAATCACACAAACATCAGGTATGCGTCAACCCATCAAAAAACATACACCTCTTTTCTGCAATATTTTAAACTAAAAGTGATATTTGTTTTAATTCAGATTAAGTAAACTTCAAATCAGTTAATCTTCACCAAAAACGGTTTCAGAAAAGTATATTTTATTATTGAAAGACATTTTAATAAAAAGAATTACGTTGTATCGACAAATCAGCCAATATGGCTGATTTTAGCGATTAAAAAAAATCATTCCAATCAATTTAAATTCAGTTTGAAATGCGGCAAAGTATTTTGCTTACTGGAAATATTATATTTAATCTATTAGTTTCTTTCTTTTTTTTCTGTTCTAATCTATTGTCTTCAAGCAAGGCGACAATGCCACTAACACGCAAGAAGTCACTTGGAGTGATGGAGGAACTTTGAAAAACTAGAATAAAAGCTTCAAGAAAGATTTTTCACTTTTGAAATGATTTTAAACCTTAGGAATCCCTTTTTTTAAATCTCTACTATAAATGAAAAATAATAATAGCGGACTGCTGAGCAATATCTACTTTAGCAGTGAATATACCAAATGTATCTACCGGCAAATATTGAGAATAACATTGACAGCGAATGTTTTATAAGTACGCAAAACAAAAAAACAGTAGGTAATAAAAAAAAAAGAAGCATTGTGATAAAAGAATGTTTGGAAAATTTAACACTCACAAGACGGATCGAGAGCAAGAGAAAAACCCACTTCAGAAGGATGAGCAAAGGGGTGTATGAAGTAGTGTCACATGTAGTGGTTAAAGAGCGACAAAAGAGAGGAAGCCGTAAAGAATTATGATCGTTCAGATCCAAAAAGTATATAAGCAAGAAAAAGCGAGAGAGAAAATCTTGCATTAAAAGTCTGGAGGATAAGAAATCATCTTACATGTAAAGTATTAAAAAGTGGAATCAACGCAATAACTGTGGGTCTTTAACATCAACTTCATCTCCTGTAACTACAATGAACTCGTAATTCTCTGAATTTTATAACAGTATCAATAGAATTTATGCCATTCCTGTAGTCATGCAATGAAAAAGAAATCGGGAAGAAAGAAAATGATACTCCGTATTTAGTTTTTATTAAACGCATGCGATTGATCCAGTCTACTAAAGAAAAGCGTTTTTCATTTCACCTTTGCCAAGTAGATTCCAACTTGCAATAACTGTCGAAATAAGAAAGAAAAAAAGAATTTATCTCCAACAGTAAATATTTAAGTAAATTAGTGCCCGTATATCAAAGTAATAACTTCATACTGCAATTACAAGGCGATGCTGAAAGGTTTTCGACCCGAACAATTTCCCCAAATTTCATATATATATCCCTTGGTCATACCGTCTACGTTCCTAGATCATCGTTCTTCACAGCTTCCTTTCTTCCGTTGCTTTCAACAATGCTTGCTATTTCATTACGACTTATGACACCACTCCCATTTGATTAACCTTATTAAATGAACAAGCAAAAGATTTTTTTTTTTTTTTTGCAGTGAACATTTCAGGACGCTTCCTTATCTCGACCTACGTCGAATCTAGGCACTAAATAATGACTAAAAAAATAGTTCCTACTAAACCAGTATTTTAACCAGCCAAAACTCGACACAATTCCCTGAATTAAAAAATTAATTATCCAGTATGAATTTAGCATTGAGATAGCCTAGTAACTTTACTGTAGACGCCTTTTCTCCTACATATTTAAAAATGTAAATCGTTTCATACCTTTAATATACATTTTAATTTTTGCAAAGTTGCGCTCAATATAATGCAGATGTTGGTGTGCTGTAACAAATATTCCGTCAAGTTAACTGTAAATTCTTTTTTTTTTCCTTCTTAGTTCATCCAGTATAGGCCCCAAGGACCACTCAATGTAGAGAGTTACTGAGCAAAATTGTTGTAAATTAGGAGGAAGGAGGAAATAAGAAATACATAATGAGGACGTTTAGGATAAATATCGGTTGACTCTGGGCTACAAAAAAGAACAAGATTATAGTTTGTTCCACACATCAGCAGTTCCGTGGAAGAAGCTTTCTGGGCGAAACTTGCTCGTTATCAAAGGAATGAGGATATCCGTGAATGTCTTTACTGGTGAAACTAAGAATGGTTCTTTGAAGGTGACCGGAATCGACAAACACCTGACGAAGGCCACAGGCACAACTGTCGAAACGTACTGATAATAAGATCAGAGGCCAGGGTATTAGTCCAAATGTCAAGAATATAAATAGAATATTTTTGTATTTGTAAGTAATATATATATATAGAGATAGATAGATAGATAGATAGATAGATAGATAGATAGATAGATAGATAAAGAAATATAGTTTTAAGGTATGCTCTATTTATTGGGTAAAGTGCTCAATATAAGGAGATAGAGCGTATGTAAATATAAATATAAAAATGAACATTGTTTCATACTAGGCGCAATCGTCAGGCTGAGTGTTGACTTCAATGTTCACTTTCATATATATATATATATATATATATATATATACGATTGCGTCTAGCATAAAACATAGTATCGCCTCTGAATGAGGGTTCACTTTTATATTTATACTTACATCCGCTCTGTCTCTGATATTGAAAGCTTTATTCCATAAATACAACACACCTGAAAACTATATTTCTTCATATATCTAAATCTCTCTCTCTCTCTTTATATATATATATATATATATATATATATATATATATATATAGTTTAGTTGTTTTAATTTCGGGAGAAAACAGACAAAAACTGACCAATACTTGGATATTTTTATTATGCTGTTCCTCGATCATAATAAAAAATATTGTTGGACTGTTTTGTCTTTGTTTTCTCGAAACTAAAACAACTATGAAAAGCTCAGAACGGCTCACGATCAAACATAATAGACATTCGTTGTCTGTTATATTTAACAATATATATATATATATATATATATATATATATATATATATATATATATATATATATATATATATATATATATATATATGTATGTATGTATGTATACTAAATAAGTAATCGATTTTTCATTAATCCGACAGTATTTTTTTTTATCACTTTAAAAGTTATTTTAGTGGATATGTGTATTTGAGTTGACGCTCCATTCATTTATCAACAGGAGTCTTATCAAAGACACATATGCGGTTTCCGGCATGATTCGAACCTGCGTCCACTATGCAGAGGGAACCTTCGTTAGATATGAAAACCTCGAGTCTATGACGAGAAGAATTTTGCTTTAATGCAAATTAAATTTTGCTTAAATTCAAGCATATCTGATCGTGGAAGTTCTTCAGTTTACTGCACGTCGGATCTAACCGCTGTTCCATTTGTCCAGAAGAACGCCGATTCGAATTCAACCGGACAGCGCCTATTTTTCTTTGATAAGATTTCTCGTACACGAAAAATAAATATACTGTTTACTAAACGGTGCGTCTACAAAAATGCGAGTATCCACTAACAATAACATTTAAAGTGATTATATATATATATACTCGGCTCTCCCGTTGCATTCGACGTATGGGGGTCAAGCAGATCAGTAAACCGACAGCAGCACATGAGGTTTGATTATAGTGGTGAAGGTTTCGTGCAGGACCATCCACACTTTTTGAAGGGCCGAATACAGAGACTTGTTGCACTAAGTGCCTCAAGGTCTCCAAACTAACCTCTGCAGCTTTTGAATTCAGAGTTGTCCTTCTCCTAGACCAGTTGGCATCCAAGGCTATAGAACCCAGTCTGTCCTGCTATTTACCCATAGCTGAAGGGAGCAGAAGAGGATTCATACATTTCCCAAGTGTATTAGCACGTAAGTGAATGTAATGGATTCGACTGGAGTTCGAACTAGGCTCTCCGATTTCTCAACCCAAGCCGCTATCCATTACACCACCGTGCCTCCTAAACTCCAAGACTCATGATCAGACATAATAGAGATTCATTGTTTGTTGTATTTAACAAGATATGTTGTATTTAACAAGATATGTTTAAATAATGATCTAATATATAATATATATATATATATATATATATATATATATATATATATATATATATATATATATATATATATATATATATATATATATATATATATATAAAGAAATAATCACACATAGAATCAATCAGAAGTATTAATGCGATTATTGGCGACATCCATCGCTAGAAACATAATATATGCATTAAAATACTGTTAATCCATCGTGCGAAGTGATCCTCGTCGATAAACTTGACGTCTGTAGTTTTCAGTTTATTTGATGTTAAAATGCTAGTACTTACGAATAGTCTTCTATTCATCATCAGGCATGTGCTTTTTCCTTATAAAATCAAAAAGTTGGAGACGAATTACTTGTATGTCGATCGAAAGATGTTTTTTAAATATCTGCTATTATTGACGGTTGTGTAAGATCTCGGAACGTGCAAAGACGCAACGCTAAGTTTTTCAAAAATTTAAGTAAGAATTTTATTTAAATATTTCTTGTGATGTGTTAAATCCACGTATTCTATTTTTACAAGTGTATTCAGTTTTTATGCCATGAACTAAGTATATTGTTCAATAATATATTGTAATGTCTTAGTAGTAGTTTTTTTTTATAGGAATTTTTTATGTACTGCGGATCGATAGTTTTTTATAAACATAAAACATTAGGCAGCATATAATTTACATACAAAGAAATATGTATTACAATATATATTGTAAGTAAGTCAGCGCATTCAAATATTTGTAAAATCTACGAAACCCCAGCACAATAAATAATTAATCCATAGACGCTACGGCTGCATTTGTCCGCCGCAGTGTCTTTTGCCGTAAAATCGCTCGCCTTGCCCGATTCGCAATAATTGGCCTGGAGGTGGGAGTATTGGTCAGGTTGGAAAATATCAAGGCTTTCTCTTTAACCTTATCCCTCCACCACGGTTTTTCTTTCTTCCTGTCTTTATTTGACTTTTTTTTTGTTGTTGTTCTTTTGTTACATTTCATATTCTCTTTGTGTGTTATGTGCGTGTGTTTTATTGATTGATCGATTTTCAGTAATAATCAACGATTATTGCCCCACCTGACGCCAGGTTAGAGAGCAAGAGTGAGACGGTGACTATTGGCGGTCGCTACACAAAGCTCCTTTCAGGCCCGCTCAGCAGACTCCGAGAATCGACAAAAACGCTAACTCGACGCCAATCTTTGATTAATATCGAAAGGTATTATATCGGCAAATACGCGATTTCTTCTCGCTTTCTTTCCGCCTTACTTTACTTCGTCTTTCTTCCCAGACTCTTCGCCTTTTTTTTTCTTTTTCATCCTCTCTTTCGAATTTCATTTCTTTTTACCTAATTTCTACTTTTCTCCTGTTTTTGCTTCAATTTCGTCTATTTTTACTTAACTTTGCAATCTGACACAAGGCCATATTATCACGTGTCTCATATCTTTTTCTCTGGCTCTTTCTCTGTTTAGTGTGTCCAAAGACAGACAGACAGACAGACGAAGTTGTTTTTTTAATGCTATGTCCCTTAAGGACGTAGCTGATCGTGGCTCTCCACGGTTTCTTTTCTTTATTACAAATGAGTTGTAATTGCCTGGAAAACTGTTATATACCGTACCTGTGGACACTAATGGATATGCCCCAATCATCATAAATACGTTGGACACTATTGTAAGTGGGGGTTAATGTGCTGCCTACGTAGTCCACTACTAGCAGTGGTTTACCTACTTCACGCCGCTGGCGAGTACTGCATTCTGTTGATGTTATAAAGATTGCCACTTAATTTCCAACCCCCGATTTGGTTATTCTTCATTCAGTAACATTTCCTAGGTTACAACACTATCTATCTATCTATCTATCTATCTGTTAAGTACCGTACCTATGAACAATAATGTGTATGTCCCAATCTTCATAAATACGTTGGACACTATTGTAAGTGGGGGTTAATATGCTGCCTAAATAGTTCACCACTAGCAGTGGTTTACATACTTCACGCCGCTGGCGAGTATTGTATTTTGTTGATGTTACAAAGATTACCATTTCATTTCCAACCAGCGTTTTAGTTATTCCTCATTCAGTAAACATTTCTAGGTCACAACAAAAACATATTGTAGTGGTTTCACGATACTTTCTTTGCCAGTTGAGTTCATTGTAACTCTTTTCTTAGACTGGCTGCCACCCAAGGCAGGAGGTCATAGTCTACTTTACTATTTATCCTATAACTTAAGAAAGAAGAGACCGATTCATGCTTTGCAGAAGGATATTAGTTCGAAAGTGAATACAGCAGACGAGGCCAGATTTTGAACTTGGCTTGTCGATTTTACTTTCCGCGCCGATCTGACGCTACTCGCACGTCCAACAAAATGCAATAATTAAAGAATGGACAAAACACAGAAAAATGGGGAAAGAAAGAAGCGGGAAAAGAAAAAAGCGGGGAAAAAAAAGAAGCGCTAAAAAAAAGAAGCGGGAAAAGAAAAAACATTTTAGATTTTCTGCGATGTCGTAAGTTGTACTCAAATAGGGTAATTTGTAGGTGCGTTTTAATGACTAAAATTTCTGACACTGATTTTCAAAGCAGGCATAGAAACATCCTTCATTACTTGGGTGCTAAGCGTGAGGCCCGCTTGGGTGATCATGTCTTTTACGAGTCATGATTGACTTGGCAGAAGAATTCCTGCAGTAGGCGTGAATAATTCATAGGATTCTGTATTTTTATTTAACTTCGGTGATCAGGTGAAAACCAGTGTTTGAACAAGCTGTGTAATCATACAAACTTTCTCTGCTCAGAAGAACGGTGTAGAAAACCGATCTTCTATCTCAAATTTTCTCCGTTTTATATTGTTCCGGAAAAAAAACCTTAGCTCAAAAGATAGATAGATAGATAGATAGATAGATAGATAGATAGATAGATAGATAGATAGATAGGAACTGGTTGAGCTAGCTAGCTCAACCTGTTAGCTAGCTAGCTAGCTAGCTAGCTTGATGAATGAATAGATACTGAACAGACTGAGATAGATAGATAGATAGATAGATAGATAGATAGATAGATAAATAGATAGATAGATAGATAGATAGATAGATAGATACTGAACAGACTGTGATAGATAGATAGATAGATAGATAGATGAATGAATAGATAGACAGATGAGAATAGATACTGAACAGACTGATGAATAGATAGATAGATAGATAGATAGATAGATAGATGAATGGGTGCTGAACAGACTGAGAATAGATAGATAGATAGATAGATAGATAGATACTGAACAGACTGAGAATAGATAGATAGATAGATAGATAGATAGATAGATAGATACTGAACAGACTGAGAATAGATAGATAGATAGATAGATAGATAGATAGATAGATAGATACTGAACAGACTGAGAATAGATAGATAGATAGATAGATAGATAGATAGATAGATAGATAGACAGACAGACAGATGCTGAACTCACCGAGAAAGAAAGAAAGAAAGAAAGAAAGAAAGAAAGAAAGAAAGAAAGAAAACAATTTTAGGAAAATCTATGACAAAGTGAAAAACTTTTTGTGTGACGCGTTTCGTTCTTTAGGACCACATCGGACTAAAGTGATGTTTACGCTTATGCGACTACACATGGACACGAACAAGAGATGACGCTGGGAATTTTAAAATTCTTTTTTTTTCTTTTTTTTTAAAGCAAGTCGCGTGAAAAACATTTTCAACTTTGTTATAGATTTCCCTAAAATTGTTTCTTGACATATATATAAAAATGTATGTATCATTTCCCCCAAAACAAACAATATGCATATTCACCCACATACGTACATACGTAAATAAGCGTAGACCTATATGCACACATATGTCGACGCATATTTACGTATGTATATATGAGCAAATATTCATGCTCGCAATGTTTAATGTCACAAAGAGACGTTTTTAACAATAGAAAACTCTTCCAATTAAATTCACATCCAAGGAACAATCAATCATACGCATATGCCCACATACATGGAGAAAATATCTTATATTACTCTATGTCAGATTTTATGATGCAAGTTCATATTTTTGCAATAAAATTCTTATTAAATGACCGGCGTTGGTCAAATTTTCAGAATATATTTATATTTCCGGATATATTTTTTTTTTTCAGAATATATTTATATTTTTTATGTGTGACATTTCACTTTAAATACTTGTTAATAAATATCGATAACTTCTTATGGGAGTATCGGATTTTACTATAAAAAAGCAAATGCAGTAAATTATTTTATTTATAAATATATAAAGTAGTTAGAGTGTCATTTATTTCTCACTAGCAGGAGAGCCCGGCGTTGCCCGGGGATGTAACAGTAAGCGATAGATCAAGTATCGACCATCATAAAGACAGAAAAATAAAATTGACAAAGATTATTGTTTAAGGTTGACGGACACGCATGTCTTAATTAGTTTTTTTTTGTTGTTTTGTTTTGTTTTGTTTTTTTTATATGAATTGATCAAACCCAAACTCAAACAAAAACATTGTTTTCAATCGTTATGAGTCTACCGATTGAATAGAACTTATATAAACAATTGTCTAGTAAATGGAATATTTAAAGCATTCTGAATGTAAAAATAAAGAAAAAAGTGTGCAAGAAAATAAGAAACACTACCTGCCAAAAAAAAAAGTGAAGTTTTGTTGAAATCGGTTGAAAAATGTAGGAAATCCGATCCTATATATAAACGAACACACACACACGCGCGCACAAACAAACAACCTGGGTTTTATAATAAGTATAACTCGATATGAGTTTTCCCCCTTTTATTCTCGCGATGCCTCTTAATCGTGTTTTCAAATTTATTTCGTGCAAAAACAATTGTGTTTTTCCAATTTTTGGCGCTGTCAGAACCACCGCAAGGTAGTTTTACGTAGTCCTGTGAAGTTTTGTTGAAATCGGTTGAAAAATGTAGGAAATCCGATCCAATATATAAACGAACAGACACACACACACATACGCACACACACAAACAACATGGGTTTTATAAGTATGATTCCAGTTTCAAATTTTAAACCGAGCCTCCAGCTCAGTGATAGAAAGTTTAGTTCTAGAGATTTTGTAAACAAGATTCGGATTAACGATTTTTTCCTCCATTTACTGCGAGTTTAAAGGTTGTGTAGCTTGTCTTTTAGGCGATTTAGTTGTTTGCTTGTTTGTGTGTTTGTTTGTTTTGTATAAAATGGTTTGTCTTGAGCTTTTGATTCTGGAGTTGTATAGGATGCTTTCCTTACATAGCCTTTTTGCAGATAACCAATGGCTAAACACTAAAGAGCCGTACTTCATTAATAAAATATCTCATATACCTGGATTATCAATTTATTAATATACATATATATATATATATATATATATATATATATATATATGTGTGTGTGTGTGTGTGTGTGTGTGTGTGAGAGAGAGAGAGAGAGAGAGAAAAGTGTATATAAATATAAATAAATATATATGTATAATTATTTATATATTATATACATGTACTTAATAGAAAGCGCTCAATATCAGAGATATATATATATATATATATATATATATATATATATATATATATATATATATATATATATATATATATATATATATATATCTCCTTGACATTGAATAGCCATCACCAATCATTTGACCAATAATTTTATTAACTTTTACACTATTTCTACTTTAACAGATGTGCGGGTGGTTTAATGGATAGCTGTTGGGAATGAGAAGTCAGAGAGCCGATTTCGATTTTCAGTCAGGTTTGTTAAATTCATTTACGTGTGCATACCGTGGGGAAAAATCTGGATCTTTTCGCAGGCTGAAAAAATCATTGTTGTCCTTAAAAACATTGTTAATGATGTATTCACTAGAAAAAATGAGTTCTTACAATCTGAATTATATCTCAGCTTTAAACAGCACACAAAGGATTGATAAACCATAAAAATGTTAGTTAAACGTTAGCATTAATTCCCTCAGTTTTTATTGTCTTCTCAAATATCGTCTTTGCTTGTACATTTTCTATTCGACTGATATCTGGAAAGAATGGCGAACGTTTCTATAAATTGGTCGTCTATTTCTGCAAGTTTTCTCTTGCATGAATATTATAAAGCTTCTTGGTTGGCAACATTCCCACCGCTACCCAAAAAATGCATCCCGCCTGAGAATTACAACAAACCTATACATTTATCAGGACACCATTAGGAACCCAATTGGTCTTGCAAAAGACCATCCCTTCTTCGGACGTCGTAGACTTTGCGCTGCAGAATCATCAAGAACTTTATCAAATAACAGAAACCACGTCACTTTAGGACTTTCACTAACAACACAAACATTTTTTTAAAAAAAAAGAAGCAAATGTAGGTCGAAGAGAAAATAATGATATAAGCAAGTCGTTTATTTTCCACACTATTTAAAGCAAAAGACTAAGAAAAGAAACCCCGCCATCACCAGCGGAAAGAATGACAACAGTTACTGGACTTGAATCGCAAAAAGTTTCCATATAAGGAAACGGCTAATATTTATATTAGAGATGAGGGGAACAGATACTACACTTTGATCCCAGTACGATGGCCAAGAAATGGAGAAAAGATTAACTCGAGAAGCATTCGGTCAATGAATCTCAAATGTTTCCATATAAGAAAACGGCTAATATTAACATTCCCATTATCATCATCAACCTATTATATTATTGCCTACAGTACTAGCCTAAAACATTTCTCCTATAGCTCCTGCTGTCTTCTAAATCGTGCAAGTCCTTCCTTGAAGACGTAACATTCTAGCCCAGCCATCTTATTCATTCTATGTAGCTCTATATCCATCGCTTAAAAATACTGCGAAGTAATGAGTTTTCATGTACTTCTTCACCTAACTTGTATGTTTCTCTTTGAAATGTATACTTAAAAGACAATTTGGTTACCTTGTATATCTTCTTAACGAAAGTTGTTTTTACTATTCTGCTTATAACCGGTTTAGTCAGATATGTTTTTAGCTGATCAATCCACTTTTCTGAACCATTACCCTTTAATGTTTCTTAACACCATCCTACCAAACGTTTTCAAGTTCCTTTTTTTATTGGTCTGTGACCTCTTTCGCAATTTCCAACGTTGTGATCTCATAATTCAATAACTTTATATCCTATTTCTCTTTTTTAATATTTATATCGCTTATTTTTTTTATATTTATGTAGTTGAATATTTAAATAGCTGATTTTTTAAATCCTTTTTAATATTTATATAGTTGATGTTGTAAAAATCTTTTGTAATATTTATATGGCTAATTATTTAAATCTTTTTTTAATATTTATATGGCTGATTTTTTTATCTTTTTTAATTTCATGTAGGTTACCGATAATACAACTGATGAAATCCGAGGTGTACAACGATCGAAACGTACGTTATTTACATTATTCGGACTATTGTCCTCAAATTGTCGCCATATTTATTACAACATTTCGGCCGTTGTACGCTTCTTCAGGTGGTTGGAATGTCGAACTGAACCCTTTATTTCGCTCAGGAACTAAACTAAAACAGTCTACCCCAGTGAGCGAAATAAAGTATACCCTAGTTCGATATCCCAACCACTTGAAGAAGGCCGGAGCGTATAGCGGCCGAAACGTTATAATAAATATGGCGACAAAGATGAGGACAATAGTCCGTATAATGTAAATAATGTACATAATACCTCATCTCAGAAATATAGAGAGTAATGACAACAACAACAATGATGAGGGCAATACTCAGAATATAAATAGTGTAAATTATATTTTACTTGTATTTTAATTTATTTATTTATGTCGTCTATTTTCTTTTGTTCTAAATGTTGATATTTGAAAAAGTTTATTATATTTAAATTATGTAATTCTATTTATGGGGTTTTATTTAATTTTGGTGAAAACATATGGGTGGAGGCATATATATATATATATATATATATATATATATATATATATATATATATATATACAAGGCTGATCTCTTAAATTAAAGATATGAACTTACAGTAAATTGTAAACACCGTTATAAATTTAACTTAGTGTAGGGGTCGTATACTTTAAATGATAATGATATGTCGCTGTATTTTTAATAGATTAGTATTTTTTATTGCATGATGGTCATACTTACGATATAAGTGTGTATTGTTTACCTGCATAGTGTTATTAGTGTTGGTGTAAATGTGTATATATTTATTTATGTGTTGGTTAGAGTATTTGCACTGAGGAATGTGTAGGTTGGTGTATAAATGTATTTATGTTTTTTTTTTGTTTTTTTTTTTTATATGTGTGGGTGTATGTGTGGGGTGTGTATGTATGTATATATATATGTGAGTGTGTGTGTGTATATATATATATTATGTGGGAAGGTAGGTAGATTATAAGAGTTAAAAGGTTAATAATTGTTGCTGTATGTGTATGTGTGTGCCTATATATGTATGTGTGTATGGGTGTGTGTATATGTATGTATTTGTGTGTGTGTGTGTATATGTATGTATGTATGTATGTATGTAAATATATATATATATATTTATATATATATTATATATATATATATATATATATATATATGTGTGTATGTGGTTGGATATATATATATATATATATATATATATATATATATATATATATATATATATATTTAAAATATGTATGTTATGTGTGTATATGTATGTATGTGTGTGTATGTGTATATGTATGAGTATGTACATGTATATGTATGATAAAATCATTGGCAGTATAATGGTTGGCCAGCATGGTTCGCTACGATTGGGTGCGACTGAAAAATGAGTTCGTTCCTCACTGGGTACCCTAATTTCGGCACTATTTTGTAAAATGCCACGACTGTTTCTTTCTTTTATATTATATATATATATATATATATGTATGTGTATGTGTGTATGTATATGTGTGTATATATATATATATGCGTATGTACATGTATATATATATATATATATCTGTATGTCCTATTTTATTTGTGTATGTGTATTTATATTTAAGTATATTTCTGTTTGTATGAATGTGTTTATATATTTGTATGTTAGACTATATGTATATTGCTGTGTGTATTTATATAGTATATTTTGGTGTTTGAAGGTATATTTATGTATCTATATGTTAGTTCGTTTTTATATATATATTTGGTTGAATTTGTTGTTGTTTTTATGTATGCATGTATATATGGGTATGGGTTGTTATTGTAGATAGATATATTTATTTATATATATATGTTTATTTGTAGATATGTATGTATGTGTGTATATATATTTATGTATGTTTGTGTATGTATATATATATGTGTGTGTGTTGGCACCTATTATGTATGAGTTTGTTTATGTGTGTGTGGGTATGGAAACTTTGGTATATCATGACTGTTTTTTGTTTTTTATATATCTAAGTATGTGTGCATAAAAGTCTATGTGTATATATGTGTGTATTTAGGTTTATATGTATATGTGCGTACATGTGTACTTGTTATCATAGATATGTATATGTACGTATATGTTTATGTTTTATATATTTATTTGTATGTATTTCTGTATGTATATGTATGTATGAGTATATATTTATGTGTGTTAATTTGTTTTTGCTGCCGTGTGTATATATATATATATATGTATATATTTGTGGATTTCTTTATCCTGTTTTTCTTTTGCAAATATATAATGAAACTATTATCAACTTATATGATTAATAATATATATATTTTTATTGATATTTATGGTTTTAGAATTTTCGTTTTAATATATTAAATAATATTATTTTAAACATTTTTATCTTTGTATATTTGCTCCCTTAAGTTATAATTCAATAAGTGGTTAGCATTTATTTAAGTCTGAAATATTTACTGGTTGTGATGTCTCAATGTCTATGCCATTGTCTGTGGATGTATGTATGTGTATTTATCGGTGTCTATGTGTATGTAGAGTGTATTCACATTTATCTGTGTGTGTATAAGTGTTAGTTTCCACGTCTCCTTTTTTCATAAAGGGCTGTAGAGATGTTCATGTATTCCCCCCACCTCTCCTTTTTTTTTTTTTTTTAGTGTGTGTGTATGTTTGTGTGTGTGTGTGTGTGTATCTAATTATGTCTGGATGCTTATGTATTATAATCTGATTGTATTTTTGTTGTGTCACGCGTGAGTTTAAGACCATATTCACAAACTTTAAAATAAAAACGGAAAAGAAAGGGAAAAAGAAAAAAATATATACATGTATTATCAAATGACCGGATGTATTATAGCGTCTTGTCTTGTCGAACGTAATTTCAATGAAGAAATGAATTGAATAAACATATATATTTTTTCTTTTCTCAATAATTTTGTAGTTTTTAAACTTAATAGTGATTAAATTTGGTTTTTAAAAATTGCCAGTTTTTAATTTTAATATTAAATTTTATCATGTAAATTTATAATTATTAGTTAGTATAAATTATTTTTGATATTACACGTATTTAAAGATCTGAATAGCTATTAGAGCAGGATTTCGTTGTCAAGCTTTTGAATCTTTCTATACTTCGTTTTCGATTGGTTATTCTAGCTTTTGTAACAATGTTTCCCCCTAGTGTAGGATCATTGATTAATCTGAAACTTTTAAAACCATTTATTTTCTTTTAACATCATCACTTGATAAGACACAGAGTGTGTTGAAACAAAATGGCTATTTTTGTAGTGATTTTATAACATACTTATGTTATAATTTTTTTATAAAAATAATTATATATATATATATATATATATATATAGGCTCTGAGGTCAAAACAAAGTGGCGACAATCTGTTTCATGCTTGAACGTTCTTCAGACCATCTGGAGATTGCGTTCAAGCATAAAATATAGACTCTAAATTATTTGTGTTGACCTCAGTGTCAATACATTCACACACACGCACACACACACACACACACACACACACACACATATATATATATATATATATATATATATATATATATAAGTCTCAAACACTAGTAAACGTGGAATATTAGTGTTTAGGCCATTTATATTATATTCTTGTTCTGTCTTGTACATAGAGTTCTATCTGGATTTTCCGCTCTTGGAATATATATATATATATATATATATATATATATATATATTGATAATATTAGTAGTCATATATATATATATATATATATATATATATAATTATCTACATATATAGACTACTAATATTATATATATATATATATATATATATATATATATATATATATATATATATATATAGCCTACTTAGTATTGACCCCAGTGTCCAATTTTACATTTTACATTTACATATTGAGGACTTTTGCCAATTAATATAGCATACCTAAAAATTATATTTTTATCATTTTATGTATATATATATATATATATATATATATAGATATAGGGAGAGAGAGATAGAGAGAGAGATAGAGAGAGAGAGAGAGAAAAGAGTGAGATAGAGTGTGGCAGTGAAGGAAACAGAGTCAAAAACAGAGAAAGAGAGACAGATGTATGCATACAGATATCCATTATTACGTAATAATGTACTTTACAGCATCACTTAGAAACGTTTTTCTATATACTAACGACAATGTTACAATTAACGAGGCATGCATGATCGTACCCACCCTTCACCATTATCCTTGTCGAAATTCACGTGTCCCTCTGGAGTGAATTTCATTTTCCCAAGCAAAACTGTTTCTATCTCCGATCCTTGTTCAGAAAGCTGACTGTTCAATTCCATTCTTCCCCCAAACACGTCCAACAGTTGATATCAGTACAAAAGGAGCATTTTTCTGGCATACACCTTGACCCTCTGGACCGCATGGCCACAAAAATGCGTCCTGCTGGTCTTCATGGCTACATCAACGGAAGTACAGAGACTGCTCCAGTCAGACAAAGCTGTTATCCACAGACTAATTTCCGGTATCCAATCTTGACCAAGCAGTCGGTACTTCGTGTTTATTTTCATAACTCCACTCTGCCTCGCATTCATGTACACGCCGCTTGTTGTTGCCACACCCAACCCTCAACATTGCTTATACATCAGCCATTATTTCCTAATTAGTCAGTAGGAACGGCTTTGAACACTCGTCATAATTTCCTCTCGTTACTTTTGCCGTCGTTAGCCATTTTGGAAAGGTTTTGTTTTTATTTATGTACACTTTCTTTCTTAATGTTCTTATTGTAACCTGACTCTTTAAACTTCTTACCCTTTTCGATTTGACGTTATCTTTTAAATTTTCATACTTGATTCATTATCATTATTATTACTAAATCTAATACTAATGCTTCGTTCATAACTATTACAAATGCTACTATTATTTTAATGATGTCTTAGCAACTATTTCATTTATTTTCTCATTATCATTATCCATATGATTTTTAGTATTGCTATTATGACTATTTGAACATTAAAAGTTATATTCGCAGTAACAACATTATTCTTATAATGGCTACGTCTTTTATTACCACTACAATTTTTCTTAAAAAAAATTCTTGTCACTAATAATATTACTAATACAATTACTCAAATGCAGATGCCGTCTGGAATAGACGAATCGATGAGAATTTTTCAACCCATAAACGAGGTTTTTTATTATTCATTCGATTTTATGGACACTTACCAATGCGGAAAGACCTATTATTATTATTATTATTATTATTATTATTATTATTTCCTTTGATTTCTGGTATCTGCACATTTCTTTCCGGGTCCCGACCAGAGACCTAAGTTTAGAGATACATATCATTACATTTTTCCACTGAACAATTAAAAAAAAAAACAAAAAACATCACACATATTTTACATAGATAAAGCCCTTCGTAAGGTGTGAGCAGTCCTCGTAGAAATAATTGTTTTGTATTTCTTTAAGGCATGGGCTTCCAGAAATCCCTTCAATGAGTCTACTGGAATCTTTTCCAATCAATCCGAGGGCTCCAATTACAACAGGGATTGTTGATGTTCACATGTATCACATTTTTGAGATTTCGATTTCAAAGTCCTTGTATTTTATTACCTTTTGAAGATCTTCAAAGATACATTGCAGACTGAAGGGACTGCCATACCAATAAGGAGGCACCTTTTTGTTTGCGTTCTCTAATAACAATGTCTGGTTGATTAGATTTGATTGTTCTGTCTGTGTGTATTGTGTAGTCCCACAAAATTGTAACAGGTCATATTTCCATAACCGGATTATTATTATTATTATTATTATTATTATTATTATTATTATTATTTGTGTATATTATGCTTTCTGCTTTGTGTCCTGTAGAGCCGGATCCAAACTATGGTACTTAGGCCTTACAGGAGAATTGTCATTTAATTGATAGCACTTTTCTTGATATATGGGATGTTCCTAGTAGAGCGATCTGCTGTGCAACTTGTATGTTGATATTACCTGGGACACTGTTAGTAAAGTCGTCCATTCCTTTCCTCACAACTCTACAACTGTAAAAGTTATGATATTGTAAAATACTTTAAAAAATTGGGCTTACTAAGTTAACTGAGCGTGAGAACAGGACATCAACAAGTATAAGAAGCTCAATCTGCCCATAATAACATACAGTCTGATAAGGATATAACATTCACATGTATCAGAGCCAAATGCTTTGATGGTCTCCAATTGACGGTGTTCCCAATTATCGAGACGTGACTCCTAAATCGCCTTGGTTGCTTCAAACGGGAAAAAGAAAACTTTTTAAACCCAGCTATGATGCTCCCCTACAACCGCATCTGAACAGAGATGCACAGTGCATCGGCCCACTAAGAGAGATGCCAAAGCAAATAGGAGTAGATAGATTCACCTATCGCCCGGTTCGCACTCCTCCCCGATTTTTTGAATAGAGATTTATCCCATGTTTCATTTTTAGGATTAGGTTTCTGGTTCCTTCTAAATTCTACTCCTAAAGCTTATTCTCTCCTTCTCCTTCTCTTTCAGTAGCCCCTTCCGCCTTATTGGCACTATCGCCTTGCTTGCGGCTGATTGAAAAACATCAGAAAAAAGAAACTATGTGGTACTGAACGGGATATTCTCCTAGATAAGACATGTATAATTTAATAGCTCTATTGAGTGATTGATTCGTTTTTTACGGCTTATCAACCTATTGCAGATTATTTAGAGATAGAAAATATTTTTTACAGTTTTTAGAAATAATAATGATTTATTGAATCTACTACGGGAAAAAAAATATGCTTCGTCAGCCATGTATCGAAAGGTACATGATCGCCTAAGGGTTTATCGCGCATGGCACATAACTGACTGAATGAGTTACTGATACAAGTCTTACTAATCAACATCCAGCTGAGGAGAGAATTCTGCCAATCTCTTTGAAAGTCTCTACAAGATTATTCCATGTTTGCAAGTAATGATGGGTACAACTTTCCTCTTCATAATTTTACGGCTTTCCACAGATCAGCATTATCATACGTATTGTAAAAAATGTGTTGCCCCCCCCCCCGCTTGTATGAAAATTTATACTTTTGATCTTATAATGTGTAAAGAATAATCAGGACTATTGTAAATTATAAAACTGTCCCAAGTGCTTTACATGTTAGTAATTATTAGACCCCTCGAATAAACGCCCCTCCACGAATAAAGACTCCTACTAAAGGTCCAATTTCTAAATAAGCGCCCCGGGCGTTTATCCGAGAAAATATAGTCATCATGTTTTTGTTATTAGTTTTACTATATTATATTTTATTATTATTATTATTATACTAAAGAGGAAATATGAACATTATTATCATTATTGTTGATTTGATATTCAAAGTTTGGATCGGTCTTTCATTGTTTCGCTGTCTTTTTTCTTTCTCTTCTTCTCAGTTTGTTGCTGTTCTTTGTATTATCCTGCTTGTATCTTTCTTTCTTTCTTTTGCTCAACTTCATTCTCATCTTTTTCTTCTCCCTCTTGCAGGAATCGATTAGTTCGAAAACACTGGAAAGGCAGTTTTTGTTTTCCCTTCCCCCACAGTTTGAAGCTGTGTTAAAATGGCAAATTGCTAGCCTGGCGCCTTTTTTGCCTTTTACCCCCGCCACCTCTGATCAGCGTTCAATGTCATTTCTATTAACAAATATCAAGAGAAAAGCACTACGTGCACAAACGCACGTAAAGCGATCAACTTATTTTCCCAAACTTTTCCTAGAGAATAATAGAGGCGGAACCAATTGATTCTTTGGGTCTTCTTTTTTAAATCAGCGATAACAATATCAATCGAGGTGAAAATTGATTTCTGTATAACGAATTCGATTTCAATTTAAGAGGTTAATGTTCCTCTTCGTTTCATTTTATTTCTTCTTATTATAAGATCTAATGATAAATCGAAAGTAAACCAGGATGATTATTGAGTAACATAAACATGTTACCTAAGTTATGGTTTTCTTCAAAATCCTTTAAGTTCTGTGGCATCTCACGTATTCCCAATATAGACAACGTATTCCTGAATCTGTTTTATATATAGACAACGCATTCCCGAATCTGTTTTATATATAGACAACGTATTCCCGAATCTGTTTTATATATAGACAACGCATTCCCGAATCTGTTTTATATATAGACAACGTATTCCCGAATCTGTTTTATATATAGACAACGTATTCCCGAATCTGTTTTATATAGAGACAACGCATTTGAATCTGTTTTTATATATAGACAACGTATTCCCGAATCTGTTTTTTGTATATAGACAACGCATTCCCGAATCTGTTTTTGTATATAGACAACGCATTCCCGAATCTGTTTTATATATAGACAACGTATTCCCGAATCTGTTTTATATATAGACAACGCATTCCCGAATCTGTTTTATATATAGACAACGTATTCCCGAATCTGTTTTATATATAGACAACGCATTCCCGAATCTGTTTTATATATAGACAACGTATTCCCGAATCTTTTTTTTATATATAGGCAACGTATTCCCGAATCAAGAAAGTTAACTGTAAAAATATTCTGTCGTAAATATAAAATCAAAGAGATATTTTTTCCTGGTTTAGAAAATCATGGCTCTCCACAGATTAGTTTCCATTATTTTGCGTGATTTGGCATTTTTCTTGGGAGAAAAAAGTACTGGGTAAAACAATAAACTACATCTGGCGGCAAGGCCTCTGATCTACAGATTGGAGGTTTTGAGGAGCATGGGGTCACCACACAATTCCCAGGTCTACCCTTAACCGGGGTGGTAGCACGTGTTGGGGTCCCAAATATAGGAAAATAGTTAATACCCAAACAAACAAAAAAAACACTAAGAATATGTAAAAATACATTTTTATATATAAAAATTACCAACAATATATCTTTATAGTAACATTACCAACAACACATTGTTAAAGCAAAATGGCCAGCAATACATTTTATAGTATAATTACCAACGATATATTTTATAGTAAAATAATGAATTTTATCTGTAGTTATAGAATTGCGTTCAAAATACATTCAGTTGAAGCCATAAAATTGTTTTCAAAATATTTAGATTTAAGTATTAGATAAGCTATAGTGATTGATATGACACTAAAGAAATTCAATCAACTATCTTGGAAAAGACAGTGGAGTAGTTTCTCATAGCTTTCTTTGCAGTTTTCAAATCGGAATTGTCGTTCGCATAGACTGGCTGCCAGCGAAGGCTGCAGAAAGCAATCTGTTCTGCTATTTAAATCATGTTTGTTTAAAGAAGAGATGGATTCATGCCTTTCCCAAATGCCTCTGTGCGAAAGTCAAATTAACAGACGAAATTGAACTCAGATCGCCGATAACCGTAACACTTCTTCTATGTGACGTGTTCCTTCAAGCCGAGGGTGATCATGGCTCTTCACAATTTCCTGTCATTTGTAACTCTTTCTTCATTCGCTACCTCCCTTAATCTCTGTCCTGTTAACCATTTAAACAAGTTCTTTATGTAGATTATGCTCTGCCTCTCTTAAATTTTCTAAGCCCTCTTTCCTCATTATGTGCCCTAGAAATGTCAACTATTTCTTTCGGATGTTAAGGTATAAG